TATCATACCCATTAGTCTGAAGATATGAAGATTTAGTAAAAATGAATTAAAAAATGAGTGAGGAAAGAATACTCAGATAACATTATTTTGTAAAATGAATTGTCTAGAAGTGAATAAGCTATTGAAAGTCACATTTATAGGATTATGATCTCTTTTCATTGTTACAACTTGTGAAATAACAATAGTCCAGGTTAACCTTAAGGTGTTTATATCATTTGTAAGATTTCTCTCCTAATATCTCTCATTTCTGGTCTACTCATCCAATTCTTAAGTACTAAGCAAATGCATTTTGATTGGATTGTTGTTCATATTCCCTATTCTGAACTATTTGCAAAGTTTGAGGACCGTACATCCATTAAAATCTGTTATACTTGTTTTATCAATAATATAAATGAAATACACAGGTGATTATGTTCAGTCCGACCATCTAATCAATGTTTATTTCTTATTTTTATTGCCTAAACATTTATTAAAAGAACGGAATTAAAACCAATAAAAAACTTTATATTTTTACTTTGATATTCATTTGTATTTATCAAGAAATGTGTAATTTCAACAGTTGAGATCATGAGCCAATTGAAACCAGACCACCATGGAAAACCTGGAAGCACCAGACGGCCATTTCGTCCTATCGTGGGATTCACCAGCAGTGCATATCCATGACCTCGCCTCACGAGATTCAAACCCAGGACCTATCAGTGGGGTTCAACCGGGTCATTTGTGAGATAGTAACTCACTGAAGACAATGGTGGATGTGTCGCTCAATTTTGCGGATTAGTTGAAGTTAGATATTAACACCGTTGGATGCCGGCTTAGTGGTCTAGTTGGTTAAGCGTCTGGCGCGAGACTGATAGGTCCTGTGTTCGAGTCTCGTGGGGGGCGAAATCGTGGATGCGCACTTCTGATGAGTCCCACGATAGGGCGAAATGGCCATCCAGTACTTCCAGGTTTTCCATGGTGGTCTAGCTTCAACTGACTGATGATCTCAACTATTGAAATTACTACAATCTCCACAAAACCCCTTCTGATACTAATGTGTAATTAACATTTGACAAAAAGAGTATACAAAACATAAAATGTAAAGAATAAATAACCATTCTAATCAGAATAAAACTAAAAATTATTTTTGTCTTCTATTTATTGACGTAAAACATTTTAATAATGAAGAAACTTTATTAAATCAATCAGGATAAGACTAACTTTTCTTATCGAAAATCAATATAATATTTGAGGGTGAAAAAACACTTTTCGATAGTGAATAATTAATCAATAATAACTTTTTTTCAAATGGTTTGTCTTTTTCTTCAAAAAAATAGGAACGATAATTTTCTCTACGTGGAAATGTCCGGTAATTCGTTGTGAGCATAAATTAAATCAAATAAGGAAATGAAGAAACATATATATTTTTTTGTTTAGTCACTGACATGGTGGTCAAAAGTTATGCTTCATTGTCAAGTCCTAAATTTATTGATTAATTTATAATATACAAGAATAATTGTTACAAAAGACTTTATTCGATATGATTTGACTTCCGGTTTTATTTATTATCGTATATATTGTATATAATGGAATGAAGACTTGATCTATTAAAAATGCTTAGTGACAAGGAAATTTTCGTCATTTATTGAAATAAATTACAGAGTTAAACTAAATTAGATAGCACTCTATAGTGGCTTTATTCTAAGTAATACTTTTCAGTTTAATATTAGATCGAATTCAGTCTTTCCAGGTTTAAATTAACCGAAATATAACTGAATCAATGTATTAACTCCAGTTAATTCATAGCTTTCTAATGCTAAACTATACTCAATGATACTGTTGTTGATGTTTCTCTGTAATGACAATCGATTTCGGATTATATGAATCGCCTTAAATACGACTATGTGAATAACGAAAAGTCAGTTAATATGTAATTTTAGTTACTGATCGTTGGAGATTCATCGATAAACATCTAATTCACACCAACATTTTTAATAATCACAAACATCATTCTTAAGGGAAAATAAACTTCAAAACGTCGATTATATCATCTAAGATGATTTTATCTAAATGTCTTCGATCTCGAAATAATAAAATAATGTGGAAGGAAAGCAAAAGTAATCATCTAGTGAGAATTAAAAGCAAATCACCAGGTTTAATGTGAGATAGCTGTTATTGATTCAGTTAAATAGTCCTAATGCATAAGCGAATACTAATACTCTGGTTATGATATTTTCTGAATATTTCATTTAAGCCTACATTGTTTTATTCTGACTGTACTACATCATATATCATGAGAGTTCTATTAGATTCAGTCTGTATCACAGTAATTGACGAATAATTAATGTGTATTATAATCATGTGTATTTATTGACTTATCGACTTTACCTTCGTGTTGGACGTTGAATAAGTTTGTAAATATATCAGAAATTTATTCTAAAATTGTGTGAACTGCGTTATGATTTATGGAACCAACCGACATACAATGACATCGTTACTACCGAATAAATTGAAAGTGTTATAAAGAAATTTGAAAGAAACATAAACGGATAAGTTGATTAATTTTATTAAAATAGTTTAATTTAGTGGAATGGAATCGAACAACTTTGGAAATAATCGAAACTTCTCCCAAATTTGATCGATAAAATTTAATATGCACTAAGAAGAACGTGACGTACATGAAATTGATCACAATCCAGTAATCGACCAATTATAAATACATCTCAGTCCTTCGAAAAGTCGCGACCTGGCTAGCTCAGTCGTAACGTCAGTGACTGGGTGGTGTGTGATCTGACCTGCCAGAAAGCATTAGTTCCCTCAAGATTACAGGTACACCTTCCTAATGAGTGTCAAATAGCACGATACCTATGTTCAGAGTTTCCTGTTGACTGTCTCCAATCACTTACTCCTCGTAAAATGCAAGAAATCATTCATATTTATCTTAGTACTTCTTGAAAGTGATGAAGGTATCTCGTTTCCAAACAAGATAAAAGATACAATAAACTACATGAGTACCAGTTAATGTTCTTCGTATGAAATTTACCTGGTATTGAGTATTTATCATTAAATTAATCGCAACCTTTTTCTAACTACCCTAATACGGTAATAAGGATGCCTAATAATTAGTTCTTAGTTCATTTGTTAGCGAGTGACTTCTAATGGCTTATAACATCTAATCACGTTTCTAATTTTTCTGTTATGCCTGCTATTTAAATAGAAAATATAATCTAGTCTTCTGGTTAGTGGTCTTATCACTTAGTGAGAGTTAATTTAGAGGCTTTAGTCAATAATTCAGTTTTTTAAATACTAGTCAGTCAACTAGATTGTGTCATTGTATTTTATTAGTAGATAAGTATTCTCTTCATTTATTTTAACTGTATTTAGACAGTCCATATTGTTACATCCTAGCGAAAATTACATTACGAGTAACGTCTGAGACCTAATAATGGACTAATATTATTTATGTATTCTTATGGTAGAAATATTCAGTAACTAGATTATGTATATCTATATTCCTCTCGTTATAAGCTTTATTTTGACCTATATATTATTATTGTACGATTTACTGTTCTTAAGCTATGTTCAGTTTATTGACCACTGCCTCCCACGTTCACAGCCACTTTTTGGCTTTATTGTGTACAAATGTTATTTTTTATCTTATGGGGCGTTGCGGTCTGTTTGTTTGACATATAAACCCAGTATGTCTGAAATAAATGATTCGATTCGATTCGCATAGCAGAAGCTGGTATTGGTGTCCTGGACTCAAGTGAACGGGCTGGGCGAACATGGGACCAATAAAGACGCTAGGTTGCTCACACCAGTCGGACGTCATTGGTTTGGAACCGTGCTAAGATTGTATAAGTCGTATCTCGATTGGCGGATAAATCATGTGATAAAAAGCCGGGCATAATGACACAACACACATAATGGTCAAGCTCTCTATCTATAATAAACAATTCAACAGCTAAACCATTGAATATTAGATACATAGCGTTTAGGTGGTACGATACCGATTTCACAATGTAACAGAATGCGCTTAGTTACAATTTTCATTTCAAGTTTAAAATCTTATAATTTTTGATCAAATAAGCTCTAAAAAGAAAACATTAGTTGAACCTTAGATATGCTAAAAATAAAATACTTTCGATAAAGTAAAATTGTTGTGAGGATTAATTCGATATAATAATGAACAGTGTAATAAATTAGTTAGATATATCTATCGTCGGCAAATGTTTGAATATCATACCAATAGCAATGTAGAAATTTATATGTTCATTAACGTCAAAAATACCGAACACAATTCATTTAATTTGGCTTCAGTTTAAGCTGAAATATTTCAATTGAGAGAGAACAGCATTTGTATGTACTTTATACTAGATTACGGTGTAATTTTGTTTACATATTGTATACATATCAAGAGCTTGAGTGTATTTATTGCATAATAATCCAAAGAAACATTATTTATGTAAAGTTAATTACTAGAGTACTTATAATCGTCTGTTAAATAATAGATGTGAGCTAGGTAACGATTAATTTCAGTTAGCCGATGGCTCTAACTACCAGTACAATATGTTTGATTAATAATGTAGGTAGCCGTGATGATCAACCCTGGATGCTCTCAACGAAAATTTTCTTCTACCTAAATATCAGATTGTAATGCAAACAACCTTCAAATTATGTGAATTATATAAATCTATGTCAATTGCTAACAATCATGGACTCACTGATGTCTAACCTTGAGATGGTTTAGCTAAAGGTCTACTGGCCAGCCATTACCAGGTAAGTCAGATAAGTGAACAATAAAACGGTAACTCACTGATCACAAGTGAATAGAATCTTTTTAAATTACAAATCGGTCTAAGTAAGAAATTTGAACGATTGTATACCGATTCACCTGCTTAATTGTATGGCGAAACATTAAAGACGTTAACCACAATTAAAAGTTTAAAACACCGGATAGATTGATAAAACCAGAATAATCACTGTTATTTTGAAATTATTTAACTATGTATCAAAATACTCTAGTCCACCAGAAGTGCGAAATTTACACTCATCTTATTAGACAAATTTACTGTCTCACAATGGATCTGTATCAAAACATTTTTCTTGACATTTTGAAATTGAAGAAAGATCAAAGGAGACTGATATGATTCTTGGTTTAAATATGGAAAATATTGATGAGGAATAAAAGCGCATTGTCGTCCACATCCTTCTTCTGTGTGTACATAAGCATCATACAGACAAATTGTACCTAAAAGAATATCGTCATTTGGATTAGCTCCTTTACAACATATCTTAGTCCCATTCTCAATCGATCGTACATCAGGCAACCATCCATAGAGACGATTAAGTTTAATTATTACACAAAGTGATCCACTATCATACCCAAAATAATTGTTGATATTACATGCATAAGACCAATCCAAGTTGAAAAGGCAGCTTGTTTCAACTAATGTTCCATAAGTTAAAGCTTGAGAATCATTCTGCATTAAACAATCACGCAAATTGTTTCCCGTGTAAGAATAATAGTCATACTGAGATAGGAATGCGATAAGCATGTCTTGAAAAATAAGAAAAGTATCAGGTTTACCATCCTACAGATGAAGGAAGAAAAATTTATCAGCATTAATGATGTTAAATGAGTATATAACGGTTTGTAATACATGCCAAACTTGGTAATATGTTATGGGTACGTCACTCATTTCACGTAGATAGTTATATTAAGTATCAATATAAACAGCATCGACCGATCAGAAATATGATCAGGGAGACCTGATTAAGCATATAAATGGTAAAAGATAGAAAGTGAGCTTAATTTGAAAGCTTACTATAATTGAAAGTCCCTTTATTATTTGTAAACTAATCTTATTTTCTAACTAATACAGATAGTTCATTTTATTACAACGCTTTTAATGCATTCATAATTGTTACTCTGAAAAGACTGAAGTAACGTTACAAAAAGTGTTCAGAAAGAGTACATGTAAGCGAAAGACTGATACGAGAATCCCTGTTTTAGGTTGTTAGGAAATTCCGTATGGTTTTATTTTTTTTCTAGACTAATAACAGTGAAAAGTGTATTGAACATAATTGATTACTTTGTAGTGAATACTACATAAAATGATTAATTGTTAAAGCAATATGCTAAAGAGATTCAAGAAACTAAGATGTACATTAGAGTCAGAACCATTAGTTATTAGATCTATTAACGTCTGAAAATGATGTAAACTTTAACTATTATATAAGTTGCTGTAAAAAAAAACACTATAAATACGACAGTATCTTTATATATTTAAGTGCTTTGGGAAGATTAGTTCAACTTGCTAGAGAGCACTACGCAAGTGTTTTGTCTAAGCTCGGAATAATGACTACTGAATTATAACTTAATATTTCAAATATATGGTGCTTATCTTGAAAGTACATTTCTTTCCGTCTTGAAATCGCGGGAACGTATAACTAAGGTATACTAAACTAAAATAAAACAACTCATTATTAATTGCTCGATTTCAGTTAAACTGATATCATTTGATATCACTACCTTATGGAAACTATTTTTACAAATATACATTAGGTCAATGATCTTTTAACTGATTAGATCATGATAGAATATAATATTTTAATTCAACTCGTATTACCAGAGCAAGCTCTAAGGACAATAAATTTATTATTTTGAATAACATTACCATTTTGTTATTGAAAAATGAATTTAATTTGTACCTGCACTCAATATGCCATAGAGGATTTATATTTACTTGAAGCAGAAAAAGTACTTTTCAAACAATAATGAAATAATCACAATAGTTTTGTGGATATTATGGTAAATTAATAGTTCAATTCATGAGCCAATTAAAGCTTAGCCAACATGGAAAACCTGAAAGCACTGGACGGCCGTTTCATTCTATTGTGGGACTCCATAGCAGTGCGCATCCACAATCTCGCCTCGCGAGATTCAAACTCAGGACATATTAGAAGAGTTCAGTGAGATAAATGTCATGATATTCATAGGCTTATGAACACAGTTTAAGTATATTAATAGCTAAATAACACTATCCTTTTTAACGGATTCCTTTATAACTTGTTTGATTACAACAGTATTTTAAAAGATTTCATTGTTTCAGTTACTAAAATAAAAGGTGTTTCCTGGAGTTCTAGTGAGAAACAGTGACCAGTGGAGTTCAACTGGGTCTGTTGTGAGATAGTAACTCACTGAAGACAATGGCGTATGCGTCGCTCAATTTTGTGGATTAGTTGAAGTTAGATGCTAACACCGTTGGATGGCGGTTAGCTCAGTGGTCTATAAGTTAGACGTTTGAGCGCGAGACCGATATGTCCTGCGTTCAAATCTGGCGATGCGGGATAGTGGATTCGTGCTGCTGAGAAGTCGCATACTAGGACGAAACAACCGTCCAGTATTTCCAGGTTTTACATGGTGGTCTAGCTTCAATTGACTCATGATCTCAATCACTGAAATTAGTAATTAAATATATTGATAATATTTATAGCTAACTACTAGTATTAACTCACTTTATAGACAACTAGATTCATTTCAGTTGAAATCACTGGTACAATTGTTAAACCTGGTGTATTTTGTAATGATAAATAACCTCCAGTTAAGTATAGTTTATTAGCATCAATAATTTTGTATAAAACTAATTTCATAAGACATATAACCATAATAAATAACAATATATACGATAATATGAAAATGATAAGTAATTTGAATAAATCTATATATATATATATATATATATATATATATATATATATATATATATATATATATATATATATATATATATTACTTACTTAAGCCTGTTACTCCCAATGGAGCATAGGCCGACGACCAGCATATATATATATATATATATATATATATATAACTCCGCCTGTAGCCCTTTTCCGAAGGCTACTGCCGGTCCCAAGCCCGGATAAAGGAGGAGGGTTGGGCATGGGGTTAGCGACCACATCCCGTAGAAAACTAACTCGCTAAAAAAACGCTAACCAGAAAAAATTATTCAAACCATTTAAACTCTGCCCTGGGAGTCAGGAGGTCTTCGTTTAGAAGAATTATGATGAAAGCCGAGTTTCTTCGGAAGTCACGAGGCCGATGCCCCTTCTGAAAACCAGAGCAACCATTTATTTAGGTACATGGAATGCTCGCACAATGTCGGAGACTGGGAGAGTTTTCCAAATTGCTGCAGAATTGAGGAGATACAATTTAGAGGTGCTTGGGATCAGTGAAACACATTGGACGCAAGTTGGACAACAACGACTAGCTTCAGGGGAGCTGCTGTTATACTTCGGACATGAACAAGAAAATGCCCCACATACACAAGGAGTTGCATTGATGCTGTCCAAAAAAGCACAAAATGTACTTATAGGATGGGAATCTCATGGACCAAGGATCATCAAAGCCTCCTTTAAAAACAAAGAAAACGGGGATTACAATGAACGTCATCCAATGCTACGCGCCTACCAATGACTACAATGAAGACGCTAAAGATCAATTCTACGATAGGCTGCAGTCAATCGTCGAGAAGTGCCCAACAAAGGGCCTGACCATTCTGATGGGAGACCTAAATGCCAAGGTTGGAATTGACAACACCGGATATGAAGACATCATGGGACGACACGGACTGGGAGAAAGGAACGAAAATGCTGAGAGATTTGCAAATCTATGTGCCTTCAATAAACTGGTCATAGGCGGGACTATATTCCCACATAAACGCATACACAAAACCACATTGACTTCACCGGATCACACCACACAGAACCAAATCGACCATATCTGCATCAACAAAAAGTTCAGGAGGACGATGGAGGACGTGAGAACCAAGAGAGAAGCTAATATAGCATCAGATCATCACTTGCTGGTCGCCAAGATGAAATTGAAACTCAAGAGGCACTGGACAACGGGGAGGACAATATCACAAAAATTTAATACGGCTCTTCTGTGGGATACTGACAAACTCAATGAATTCAAGATAACCCTTAGCAATAAGTTCCAAGCCTTTCATGATCTACTCAATGGAGAAGGAACTACTATGGAGAGCAACTGGAAAGAGATAAAAGAGGCAATCACTTCAACATGTCATGAGGTTCTGGGCCAAAAGAAGCACCATCACAAGGATTGGATCACGGTCGATACACTGGATAAGATTCAAGAAAGGAGGAACAATAAGGCAGCAATCAATACCAGTCGAACAAGAGCAGACAAAGTCAAGGCACAGGCTGAATACACAGAAGTAAACAAGCAAGTGAAAAGGAGCATCAGAACTGACAAACGTAAATATGTGGAAGATTTGGCATTGACGGCGGAAAAGGCTGCCAGAGAAGGAAACATGAGACAACTGTATGAAACAACAAAGAAACTCTCTGGAAATCACCGTAAACCAGAACGACCAGTGAAAATCAAGGAAGGCGAGGTAATCACCAACATTGAAGAACAACGAAACAGGTGGGTAGAACACTTCAAAGAACTCTTGAATCGACCAGCCCCACTGAACCCACCCAACATCGAAGCAGCACTCACGGACCTCCCAATTGATGTTGGCGCACCGACAATTGAAGAAATCAGCATGGCCATCAGACTATTCAAGAGTAGCAAAGCAGCAGGACTAGACAGCATTCCAGCAGAGGCACTGAAAGCAGACGTAGCGGCAACTGCAAGGATACTCCAAACTCTCTTCAGAAAGATCTGGGATGAGGAACAGGTACCAACAGACTAGAAAGAAGGACTTCTGGTCAAAATGCCAAAGTCTTGAACAGGGTATTGTTAAACAGGATGAAGGACTCCGTAGAAGCCCAACTTTGAGACCAACAGGCAGGATTCCGTAAGGATAGATCGTGTACAGACCAAATCGCAACTCTACGGATCATTGTGGAACAATCAATTGAATGGAACTCATCACTCTATCAACTTCATTGACTACGAAAAAGCATTTGATAGCGTGGACAGAACAACCCTATGGAAGCTTCTTCGACACTACGGCGAGCCTTAGAAGATAGTCAATATCATACAGAATTCCTATGATGGATTAAACAGCAAAATCGCGCATGGAGGACAGTTGACAAAGTCGTTCGAAGTAAAGACCGGTGTCAGGAAAGGTTGCTTACTCTCACCCTTTCTCTTTCTCCTGGTGATCACCGGGATCATGAAGACATCAACATCTGAAGGGAAGCACGGGATACAGTGGATAGCTAGGATGCAATTGGATGATCTAGACTTCGCAGATGATCTGGCTCTTCTATCGCACACACAAAACAAGAAGTGCAGGAGAAGACGACCAGTGTAGCTGCAGCCTCAGCAGCAATAGGTCTCAATATACACAAAGGGAAAAGCAAGATTCTTCGATAAAACACAACATGTACCAATCCAATCACAATTGACGGAGAAGCTTTGGAAGATGTAAGAGCCTTTACATATCTGAGCAACATCATTGATGAACACAGTGGATCTGATGCAGATGTGAAGGCGCGGGTCGGCAATTCAAGAGCAACATATTTATAACTGAAGAACATCTGGAACTCAGAACAATTAGCAACCAACACCAAAGTCAGAATTTCCAATATAAATGTGAAGACAGTTCTACTGTATGGGGCGGAAACCTGGAAAACCACGAAAGCCATCATCCAGAAGATACAAGTGTTTATTAACAGTTGTCTACGCAAAATACTTCAGATCCGCTGGCCGGACACTATAAGCAACAACCTACTGTGGGAGAGAACAAACCAGATTCTAGTGGAGGAAGAAATCAGGAAGAAGCGCTGGAAGTGGATGGGACACACATTGATGAAAACACTCAACTGCGTCACAAGACAGGACCTCACATGAAATCCTCAAGGCCGAAGGAGAAGAGGAAGACCAAAGAACACATTACGCCGGGAAATGGAGATAGATATGAGAAAAATGAACAAGAATTGGATGGAACTAGAAAAGAAGGCCCAGGACAGAGTGGGTTGGAGAATGCTGGTCGTCGGCCTATGCTCCATTGGGAGTAACAGGCTTAAGTAAGTAAGTAATATATATATATATATATATATATATATATATATATATATATATATATATATATATATATATACAGATTTATTCAAATTACTTATCATTTTCATATTATCGTATATATTGTTATTTATTATGGTTATATGTCTTATGAAATTAGTTTTATACAAAATTATTGATGCTAATAAACTATACTTAACTGGAGGTTATTTATCATTACAAAATACACCAGGTTTAACAATTGTACCAGTGATTTCAACTGAAATGAATCTAGTTGTCTATAAAGTGAGTTAATACTAGTAGTTAGCTATAAATATTATCAATATATTTAATTACTAATTTCAGTGATTGAGATCATGAGTCAATTGAAGCTAGACCACCATGAAAAACCTGGAAATACTGGACGGTTGTTTCGTCCTAGTATGCGACTTCTCAGCAGCACGAATCCACTATCCCGCATCGCCAGATTTGAACGCAGGACATATCGGTCTCGCGCTCAAACGTCTAACTTATAGACCACTGAGCTAACCGCCATCCAACGGTGTTAGCATCTAACTTCAACTAATCCACAAAATTGAGCGACGCATACGCCATTGTCTTCAGTGAGTTACTATCTCACAACAGACCCAGTTGAACTCCACTGGTCACTGTTTCTCACTAGAACTCCAGGAAACACCTTTTATTTTAGTAACTGAAACAATGAAATCTTTTAAAATACTGTTGTAATCAAACAAGTTATAAAGGAATCCGTTAAAAAGGATAGTGTTATTTAGCTATTAATATACTTAAACTGTGTTCATAAGCCTATGAATATCATGACATTTATCTCATTGAATGTAGAATTTAAAACTTAGCATTGTTTTTTTTAATGACTTAGAGGTAAATGAACAACTTTTAAATATTGAAAAATTATATTAAAACACAATAGTAATGAAAAATATTCTTTTCAATAATTCCTCATCAGGTTCTACAATTATCTCATATCCAAATTAATAATTTATAAAATTGGCCAGATTTAAGGCAGAGTACATCATTTGGAAATTGTAATGTGTATATTAACAATTGTTGTTTGTTATAAAAAATCAAATCAGATCGTTAATGTAGGGGCTGACTAAAATGAAGTGGTAACTTAAATCAGTTTATAAGTGACATAAAATTGTGCGATAAATGATCAGAATAAATATGGTCAACATAGAGTAAGAGAGAGCGAATAATGCAATTACAAATCAGAAATTACGTAATATGTAGAATAATATGAAAAATATGTCAGATATAGTAGATAGGGGTGGATGCTGAATAAATTTCTCAAAAAAGTTATCAAGTGTAATAATAATAATACATTCATTTGGTGTTGTTTACTTGTATCTTCCCATTATTATTTAGGACTGAAATTGATCAGTTTCATGTTGGCATATGTGCATCCCGTGCGGATTGCATCAATATAGCCTTAAGTCACAAGCTTTTTAAGCAAAGATGGATAGTAGGTAGCAATGGAGTCCAGAAAGAGCGTTTCTTCCTATTCGGGACTCGTCAGCTGGATGTACCTGCATCTCAGAGTTGATGCTTACTTCGGGATTCCAACCCAGTACTGTTCACTTCAAACGCCATCACGTTATCCACTTAGCTACTGAGTCCTGACAGCCATCTTTTTGCA